GCGGGAAGTACCCCCCGCGGAGGTGGCAGAAAAGGAGGAAAAGGAACTCAGCAAAAGAATCGACGAACTGTACAACTCCGCATTTAACACAGCAATATCAAATGCAAATATGTCTGGGCCTGGAAACTTGAGTTGCTGATTCTTGCACTGCAGACTGGTCGGTTGTACGGTATAACAGCATGACAAGTTATCCTCGCCCCATTGCGGGCTCATTCGTGTTTAGCATGACAAGCTGACTCCATCCAGCACGACAAAAATAAGAATGGTCAATCGTATTTATGCATCACAGAGACAGATCTTGTTGTCCCTGAGCTTGAGGTCTCGCAGTACAAATCTAGACCCAAATGACGCATTTGCATTTGATAAGGAAATGTAGTTGACAACGGTGAGGGCGAGCTGCATTCCTCTGCTTCTACGACTGGTGGAGGGGTGTTGAGCGACATCAAAGATAAACACTCTCCTCAGCCCTTGGACTTGCATCTGGCGGAGGATTATCAACTGTAAAAATGTCTGGGTCTGGAAGAGTGTAAACTTGTCATGCAGGTTTTTTATGACCCATGAGGTCTGTGATGCGGAACCTAGCACGACAGACTCTGTGAGGTCTCTGCCATGCCTATCCTGCATGAGTAGAAACTCCCTCCCAACTCGGTCGAAAGTGGACAGCTTTTGGCACTCATGCAACACAGATTTTTTCATGATTCGGATTTACCATGACAAGTTGCAATCTTCCAGACCCAGACATATTTGCAATCCATAAGGATTCGATCAAGTTCGGGGACTTTTTCGATGTCTACGAAGACGAGGAGATATTGGAACACATCCGAAATACTGCGGCACGGAAGCAATTAGCTGTGTCAGATTTTAGGACAATGTCAAACAGTTTGACTGATGAAGTAACGCAAAGAGGAACGTATCAACGGGCCCCGGGGACCATGGTATGAACTACTGCAAAAGTATCCGATACTCGTATAAATGCATTACGAATTTTCTCAGCATGAGAAATGTAATTTGTAATGCGGATTTATTTTAGGAAAAAAAATTGTAATGCATGATTGCAATACGAGTGTGATACTTTTGCACAGGATACATCGACATGGACGAGTATATATCAACTGTAAAAATGTCTGGGTCTGGGAGAATCCAGCTTGTCATGCTGATTTTGGATTCTAAAAAAATCTGTACTGCATGAGCAGCAATAAAGAGAGCCCAAGCTTTGCTACACGGAAAGAGCATTTGCCATGCGGTATAGGCATCAGGAAGCCCTCACAAAATCTGTGATGCATGGGCACGCATCACAGACATCAGGAGTCATGCAACATGTGCATGACGAACCTGGCAATCTTCCAGACCCAGACATTTTTACATTTGATAGTATATCAGGATGAAAAATTATCCCCCCTCTCATATCAAAACGAAGTTTCTGATGCTGGCTCTGCGTTGTACACAAATGAGATTTGTCTTGCTGGCAAGGCTGCAGCCAGGCCCATATCAAGCCTGCAACACAGAGACGATTTGTGGTCACAAATGAGCAACGCAAATTTTCGAAAACGTACCTTGTCAATACGGGCGGGGGGGGAATAAATATCCTCGCGATAGAGTACGTGACGAATACAATCGCGAAGGAACATATCGCAGGAAAAAAATGTTTCACTGTAAACTTGTAATGCGCAGAGATGAAGGCACCCCATCCCCAGAAGGATTTGTCTTGCTACACATGCAAGACAATGGATTTTTTTAGCTGTCTTTTCCCTTAGGAACCTAGCATCACAAAAAATTTTCTCTGTCATGTTGAGCAAACCTGTTCTGCAAAACTTGCAAATCGTTTACAAAATCCTTACAGTGAAACACTTTTTTCTTGCGATAGAAAACGAAATACTCGGGGAGGACGCTGACTACAGAGAAGGTGATGAAAGTAAACGTGAGCCGGGTCGTACATATCCAAGAAAGAAACGTTGTTAGTGTAAATTTGTGATGCGCAACGTGCAAGATGATTGCGTCTGTCATGCTTGGCATGCATCGTAGGGTCCATTAAAGGGCGTTTTCGCGTACTATCTGCGCATGACAGGTTTTTGCTGTCATGCCAGACAAATTTGTAATGCTGTTCCTCCAAAAAAGTTACACCTACAATGTTTTTTTCTTAGATAGTACAACTGCCAGGAGTACTAGACGCGACGTCGACGCTGTTGCGCCGCCCAGCGAGGATGAGGATGACCTTGACGACCTCGACGATTTTATCGCAAGAAAAAACTGTTTCACTGTGAACTTGTGATGCAGAAAATGGATCGCAGAAGTGTGTGTCATCTACACATGCAAGACAGTGGATTTCTAGCTGTGTCTTCCCCGCCTAGGAACCCCGTATGACAGATTTTCAGTGTCATGCGGAACAAACTTGTGATGCAGATTTTGCAAAATCACCACAGTGAAGCAGTTTTTTCGTGGGATAGATTTGGACGAGGAAAAAGAGTTTGAGGAGGATTTTCTTTTGTTCGAGCGGGCGCGCAACGCAGTGGGTCTCCCCATTGGCTGTCCGTTGGACTCGGGCGCGCTCATCATTGCCTCTATGCCCACCATATCCTGTGCAAAAGTATCGTACTCGTATTGCAATCATGCATTACAAATCTTTTTCTCAAGGTCACTCAGCATTACAAAATTCATTTCCCATGCTGAGGAAATTTGTAATGCATTTCTACGAGTACGATACTTTTACAGTTGATACACCAAGGAGAGTCAGTTTGGCAACACCGCCGGAGCACTCGATATCGATGTGGCCGCGGCGCAGCTGAGAGCAGAGAGGAACAAAAATATTGACCACAAAGGCAAGGAAGTACAACAGACTGCGCAGCAGGTGGAGCCCGATGGTAGTGCAACAGGAGCCGAAGGAGAAGATGTTCTTGCTGCAACTACAGCTGCAGCTCCAGGCACTAGCGACAGCGATCAAGACACTGTAGCTGCCCCAGCAATTACCACCTCGGAAGATGTTGATAAAGAAAAAACATCAGGTGGCTCTTTTCAACAAGAACAAGCGAAAAATCCGTACCAGGGCACGGATGAGCTCCATGCGCTGGGGCCCGAATATCAGCTAGGTTTTGGGAGGTTCAGCTACAGCAAATTTCTGGACCCGTATGCAAAGCAAATGTATCGTACTCCTCGTGGTATTGCAATACAGATTAGCTCAGCATGACAAATGGAATTTCTCATGCGGATTTAGCTCCAAAAAGAAATCTGTCTTGCATGACTGCGATAATTAGTACGAGTGCGATACTTTTGCAAAGGATAACCCGGGGTGGAAGACAAAAAACAAATTGTGTGACAAAGAGGAGCTCCCGTTGCTGCGTGCCCCGCTGAAAACCACAGTGACGGTCGACAGTGTTGTCTTCGAGAAAACTGCCATGGAGGAGGAGGAAAGGGAGCTAAAGCGGTTCAGCAAAGAAAATGAAAGGGACAAGACGACTCATTCTACATTCACGGAAGTCCTCCTTGATGAAGTCAAGACAACCAATGCAGCAGCTGCTGCTGCTCACACTGCTTTTCTGGCGGAAGACCCGGGGACTCTGGGTCAAAGAACTACTGGCGCAAAAACTTCCTCCACTGTCAGCGTGGACGAAGCCGGTGCAGCAAGCCTGGTCGAGATTGAAGACGAGGAGGACGCAGAGTCGATATAGCGTCGTAAAAGTTGTATTTGACTAAGACCGTAAAAAAATTTTTGCGCGCATTTTTTCGCGGCGCCTATCTAGTAAACCTGTGCACGCAGACAAAAGGTCAATCCCAGTGCCGTTTATTTTGGCCCGCCTATGCGAAGCGCTTCTCAATAGCTAAATATGGACTGCTGCGGAGGTGAACGATTGCGGATCTGCCTCGGAGCGCCCTTAAAGCCCCGAGCTGCTTCAGCAGGTCCTCACGCAGGTCAGCGGCTAGGCAATGGGTCTCACTTTGTGCAGGTCGGTCGGAGTCGAGGGCGCAAATGGAACTGCCCGCGGCTGCGTTTCCAGTTGGTTCTAATGCCGTGCAGCTGTGCGCGCGTGTACCGGCACGCACGCGCGCTTTTTGCCTTTGTGGTTTTTTCTTGAAAAAGCGAGAAAGCCGACAGCCTCTCGGACGGGGTTCCCGGAGGGGCTCTGGGACCCCTTTTGGGGAGGGGTAGTACCATCGTGATTCAAAGAAAAAAAGATGGGCTTTTTGCTAGGGTTCCGGGCACCCCTCCGCCCCCCCCTTTTTGTTAGGGTTCCGGAAAGGCCTTCGCGACTAACATATGTGCGCGGAACTCGCTAGAGACAACATCGCCAGGGCCTGCGTAGACATCTCTTGGGGCGTTTGCAGCTTCGCATCTTGATCCAGGCCATAGCTGCAAACAGCTGCAGTGGGCGAGCAATCCGGAAAAAGGAGCGAAGCGTTGTGAGTGCCCGGCGCTTTCTCTGTGAAAGCATCAGCCGCGAAACAATCCTCAGCGCCCCGCCCTCCTCCATGTCATTCTCCGCATAGCGGGCAGAGAATTGCTTCTGATAAGCTAGCTAAAACAAACGGCGCTCAAGTCAGTCTCTCACTCGCGTGCACGGGTTTAGTAGCAACACGCCGCGAAAAAATGCGCGCAGAAAATTTTTTACGGCTTTAGCCAAGTACAACTTTTACGACGCTATAAAGCCTGGTCGAGATTGAAGACGAGGAGGACGCAGAGTCGGCTTTTGATGTAGGCCCTAAAAAATCCATCTCTACGCCCATCTTTTCAAAATTTGCTCTATCGGTTTGCCGCCATTTCGTTGCATTCTCATACATAAAGCCTCTCGAGCAGCTCGACCGCAGATCCTGGCTGGCGATATTGCCTGACAGATTTTCCGGGTCTTGTTTTTCTTTTTGCAGCTTGGTGGAGGAGTGTGGTAGGAGTTGTGAGGCCAACTTGTCATGCACATCTCCGCGACATGCAGAAACAAGAACAAAACCGGGAGAATTTTACTGGGTGCGCGCCAAGTCCTGAACCGCTAGGGGTTTGGGAAGCTGCGCAGAAGATGCGGTGGGCGCTGTTTCCGAATCAGGCCCAAGCCAGGCCGGGGCTGATAAGAGGGGGGGCGCAGCCTTTCGCTTGGCTGCGCCTTGTGGAGGGTAAATTCGCCGGGGGCATTTTCCGCGTTTGTCGCTATTGCCGGGCGCCTTGCCTTACCTGCGCAAGCAGAGGCGCGCTCAGGGTCCATGGCCTCATATGATTGGGAGGCTCGTTTGGGTGGCTTTTCTCTTTGGGGTCTTTGGCTTGCGTTTCTGCCCCGGGCCTCGGGGCAGAAATAGAACAGCCCGGCTTGGCGCGTTTGCAAAGGCGGACGCGCAGCCGCCATCGAAGAGGCGCTACGCGATAATCGGCGAGGGCGCCACGCAATCAACTGGCCAAAATTTGAAAAGATGGGCGAAAAGGTGGATATTTTAGGGCCTTCATTTGAGATTGAAGATGAGGAGGACGCAGAGTCGGCTTTTGATGTTGATCTCGATGCTGGTCTTGAAGACATCGCTGAGCAGAAGGAAGAAGGGCCGGAAATACTGAATGAACCACCCGAGCATTCTTCGCCCCCCATGCGTGTATCCCCGACTTCATCCCCATCAAGGGTTCCACCTTCTGCAACACGACGACAGTACACGGTTCCAAAGCGACCCTCGAAGTTTTTCCAGAAGGAGCTTTTGCGGCAACAAATGGAACAGGGAAGGATGAAAAGTTCTTCTTTTTCTCAACAGGGGAAGGAATTCCCCAATTCATCTGAAGAGGTGGTAGACCACGACTTGCATGATCAGGGAGCAGCAGTAGAGTCTGCTGCCAAGAATGCCGGCGCGCAACAAGCGGCAAGTACTATCCCGACAGCGAGCAGATTCGCGTTTGCCCGTGCCCAAGATGGTAGTAGTACGCCAGGGCAGCACCTCCACGACGGCAAAAATGATCCAGCTGAAGAGGATGCTGATGAGGAGGGCACAACCCCGCCGGTTCAAAAGGAAAATAACCCAACCCCGCCCACCGCCGCGCAAGTTGTAAAAGAACCTCCGAACTACAATAACAAAGTAGGACCTGATTCCGGAGGTGATAAAGATAAAGAAGAGACTGTCGCGCGACGATGTGGGATTCTCAATTGTTACATTGTCAGCTGTTACATGAATTTGTGATGGTACAAGAGTGAAACAGGGAGAGGCCGGATCTTGCAACTCTTGCATTACAAATTCGGCACAGATTCCCATGCTGTTTAGCCCTTCCAAAATTTGTAATGCGAAGTAGCTCCACCGTTTGCGTTTGGACGCTGATGCTCATTTTGCATGGCAAATCATGTAACAGTTGAGAGTGTAACATTTGAGAACGCCATAGACGAGCCGTGCGCGTTATCGAAGCGGTGTCAACGCCTCGGCGAATCCTCACGGCCGAGAGCAGCAGCTTCATGGACATAAACCAAGGCATATCACAGGCAAAAGTGTATAGCGTCAATGGAATTTGTGTTGCAGTAATGCATCAAAAAACGTGCCCAAATTTGTCATGCATACCATGCATACAGATACAACAAGGCAAAATTTGTCATGCATGTTTGCAATCTAATATGAGATCCGCCACCGTTAGCACTTTTTCCTTTGATAAGGCACCAACCCCTTTGCAGAGGCGATGAGCCCGAACGTCGCCGCGTTTCACCAACCCACACCCGAACTGCACTCGAACGCCGCTAGTAGAAGTGCGGCCCTGGGGAGTACGGACTCGTTGACCAACCCGCGGGGGGGTGGGAAAGGCCGGTTTGGCACCGACGGCCTGTCCGATGACCTGGAGGAAACCAACGAGAGCATGCTACAACAGCGGTACAAAACTACCCGGCCCCTGTATCAAAAGGAAAAATCCCGCCTCCCCATATCAAAACGAAGCTTCTGATGCTGGATTTCCGTACACCAATCAGATCTTCCTTGCAGTAGAGGACTGTAGACATACGCCAAGCCTGAATGGAGAGGTTTTGGCAGAGGCAACTAGCATGACAAACGTCTAGGCTGTAAGCCCAACAGCATGTTGACAAACCGCCTCCATAATGCGGCGGACTCTCTGGGTTCGCCTTCTTGCAACACAGAGAGTATTTGTGGTCACAAATCTGCATCACAAATTTTCAGACGAGTGCGTTTTCAGTATGGGGAGGGGGGATTTTTCCTCACAATACCCTGTACGTGAAAAAGCAAGCTTACGAGACCGCGAAGCAAACCTATGGATGTGTCAGGATCGAAATTGTCAAAAATGAAACAGTTTGTCATGCATAAAATGCAGCGCAGAGGCAGAGATTGTCTCTATTGCAGAGGACGCAAGAGAGGCAGACTGTAAGCCTGTGGAGGGGTAGAAGTAGAGCTGCTCAAGTAGCATGACAAAAGGCGTCGTCCTTACCCAAACAGCATGACAAATTGGATTGAGATAATTCTACCCAAATTTGTCATGCGCCACAAAATGCCAGCCCGTAGTAGCACAGTCTGTTTTTGTCATGCGCCACCTGGAAACTGGGACTCAACTGGCCTCCATTTGATTATGCATGGCAAATTATTTCAGCTTTGTCGATTTCGACCCTGACAGTTCCATAAAACCAAAAAAGTGCTACTCGGGTATCTAATCTCGAAAAAATACATGTCCACGCCAAATCCACTGACAAACAAAATCCACGGCGCAGCGTTGCAGCCAGCAGATATTCGCAAATTGCTCGGTGTTACAACTGAAGAAGAAGCGGCACTACAAGAACCCGCTATGGACGAAGAAAAGTTGGTCGCGGCGGAACAAGCGATAGAGGAAGAAAAGTTGCAATTGGACGAAACGGAAGAGAAAATGAAGTTTCTAAGCGCGTCCGCCCGACGTCGAATTATTGAAAAAGAAGCGGCACTCGCCAACCAATTGGAGGAGGACCAGGACCGGCTTGCTGCGATGGGAGTTGTGCGAGACAAAGATGGAAACTGGAGGAAAACGCGAAGAAGAATATGCATTGCAAAAGTATCGTACTCGTACTGATTGCGTTTATGCATTACAAATCTCTTTATTAAGGCAAATCCGCATTACCAATTCAATTTGTAGTGCTAAGTGAATTTGTAATGCAATTTATACTAGTAAGTAAGTACGATACGTTTGCACTTCATAAAGCAAAAAAAAGCGCAAAAAGCAAACTTTGCAGGAAGTGTTCCGCGACCGCAAACCGACTTCCCAGTTTGCATTTCGGGCACAGGATGCACTGCAAATGTGTCTGGGTCTGGTAACTTGTAATGCTGCGATGGGAATAGTGAATGCTCTGTAATGCACAGCCCAGCATAAGAAATACTTATCTGCGCTACTTTGTGTTGCGTTTTTCGCATGACGAGCTGCGTTTTTGCATGACAGGCGAAAGGGTCTCTTGTTGGACACGCATCGCAAACTTTTTGATCATGCCAGACAAGCGTGACAAATCTCGCAATCTTCCCGACCCGGACACTTTTGCATTTGATAGGCAGCAGTCCAACGCAAAATTTGGCGCGCGCATGATCGAAGAGCTCCGCGAACAGGAAACGGCCGCACTGCTCGATATGGCGTTCTCAAACGTATACATTCTCAGCTGTTACATGATTTTTTGCCATGCAAAAACACTATCACTCTTTGCACGATCAAGCCTTCTTCGCATGGCAACTTCTCGGCGATGTCGCGCTAAATAGCACTAGAATTAATATCCGCCCCAAATCTGTAATGCAAAAGACGCAATCTTCCTCCTTTCACTTTTGCTTTTGGCATTCTTAGGACATCAGAAATTCATGCAACAGCTGAGAATTTGTAAGAACGTTTGAGAGCCCCATACTCGAAAAGTTTGACTTTGGGTTATCAACTGTAAAAATGTCTGGGTCTGGAAAAAATCACGTTTGTCATGCTTGTCTGGCATGACTCTTAAATCTGTCATGCACGTTACCCAAGAGCTCCGTTTTTCTGTGATGCAGAAGCGCACTCTGTCATGCAGAATAGGCAAGACCTAGGAGCTCAGAAACTTGTCATGCTGAGCCAGCATTTGTAGCCTCATCATGAGACGCCACCCAGCATCACAAGTTTCCAGACCCAGACATTTTTACAATCCATATGGGTTTACGGCCGACAAATGGTTCCGTTATGCAAGAAAAAAACGGTGTAAGTGTAAATCTGTGTTGCAGAGGATGAAAGACACTTACACTTCTTGTCATGCTGGACATGCATCAGAGATTTGTTTTGTACGTGTTCTTTTCACGTACTAGCTGCGCATGAGAGGTTTTCTCTATCATGCAGAGCATATTTGTGACGCTGTTCCTCCAAGTAGAAAGTTACACTTACACACTTTTTTCTTGGATATCCGTATTCCATCCTTCATGCAGGAATACATGGGTTCGGCCTTCACCGACTACGTCCCGCCCGCTCTGCAGGCCGCGACCAGACTAACGGTATGACAGTGCACAACTACTACCCCTCCCCCTCATTTGTCATGTAAAATGCCAAATCCAGTCGCTTCCCTGCGGCACTGTTTGCATGACAAATATCGAAATAAGCGGAAACAGTATGTTTGTATATGTTTCGTAATAAGCGTTTGTCTTATTTGTGTTGCTGTTCATGCAATGCAAATGAGCGAATTGGGGAGCAGTTGCGCACTCTCATAAGCGGCATTCGGTCTGGATAAGGCCCTGGGTGGCATCACGGTGTTTGAGTCGCCCGCGGCACGCGCGGCATATCCCGAGTAAATAAAACGTCTCCAGCACCCCGTAGTTGTAATGCAAATCCCCATGCTGAAAATGTTACTCATGCGGAGCCCCATGAGAAGCATTTTGCAGCCGTGTTTCGCAATTTGTCATGGTGCAATAAGCATGATATACTAGATCAGTGATGCTGCTGAACAAGCGAAACTGGATTGTACAACCAGACCACAAACTTGTCATGCGCCACAGCCAAAGCTGGCTGCTTTGTCTAGCAGGTTTCCCATCTTGACTATGGGCGGGTGGGGACGTTTTTACACAGGACGCGGCAGACTCCATGTTTTTCAACTGGTTTACCGACGTGACCTATGCATTGCAAAAATATCTGGCTCTGGAACAAAGCAACTTGTCATGCCAAATCTGAATCACGTAAAAATCTGTGTTGCATGATTACCGAAAGCTGTCCACTTTTCACGTAATCGAGAGGCAGTTTCTCATGCAGGATAGGCATGCTAGAACTCTCACAAAATCTGTCATGCTATGTCCTACATACC